GTGGCTGGCTGGAGTCTCGTAGTTGCAGAAAGTATTTGTCCGTTTTCGCAACTTTGGTCTCAGAGATGCCCTGACCACCTGAAGAGAGCCACCCGCGACCCACAATACAAGGACAAGGCCTTTCCCCCGCACGTCGGATTCTCGAGGGGATTGTCCAGGGGGTTGTCAACCAGATTTTCCAGGGGGGTTGTCCAGGGGTTGCCCAGGCGCACTCCTACCCAAGCCCTCTCTTGGGCCTCCTCATTCTTCAGCCTTCAGCCTTCTCCTCATTCCTCAGCGTCCGGCCACTTTCGCCTGCGACATCCTCGCACCTCTGAGCTCGGGGATGGCATGTCCTGACGTGAAGTTGTCCAGCCAGTTTCGCCCGAGACATCTTCGAAACTATGGCTTCTGAGATGCTGTGCGCGAGGTTGTCCAGCCAGTTTTGCTTGAGACAGCCTTGCAACTCTGTGCACAAAGATGCCCTGACCCAAGGATGAGCAGACACAGGACTCCCACGGAATCGGGGTGAAGGTGGGGAATGGTGCTGTCGCCTGAGCGGTGACTACACTCTCGATTGGGAAGTGAGCTGTCGCCCGAGCATTGGATGCTGCTCTCGCCCGAGCGCCAGCCACATCCCCGATTGAAAAGGGTGCTCTCTCCGGTGCGCCGGCCACATCCCTGGTAGGGGACGGTGCTCTCGCTCAAGCGTCGTCCACATTTACATGCTAGGGCACTTGCGGTCTCCATCTCGGAGGGGTTGTCCGGGGAGTTGTCCGGGGAATTCTCTGTTGTTTCTACCCTTGCCTCTGTGATGGGCTGCATAACGAGGAACCTTGGACCTAGAGTCAAACAAGAAAAGGGCAGGGGAGAAAGAGCAGGAGGAGGAGGAGGGGAAGGAGCAGGGTGGAAGTAGGAAGAGGGGGAGGGGCAGCTGGAGGAGGGGAAGACGGAGGGGAAGAAGCTGCCTCGAGTCTTGAGGATCGAGGAGGCGGGGAGGAGGAGGAGAACCAGGAGGACCAGGAGGAGGACGGCGAGGAACGATCTCCAAACGTCCCTGTGTGACCGCATCCGGCCCAGACCTCTCGGGTCGTGATGCTTTCTCAGCGTGACCCCCCCCCCCAGAGGTTTGGACAAGCTCCCCGGAAGCGGCTTTCCATCCCGAGTCCTTTTCCTGGCATCGCTCGGACGTGTGTTTTTTTTTCTCGGCGGACCATCCTGGACCATCGAGGAAAAAAAACACGCACGAAACCGAAAAATGCACGGGAAATGGACGTCCGAGCGACGGCAAGTTTTTGACGTTCTGAGGCCCGCTGGGTCTCCAGAGGCCGAGGCTGGGCACAGGCCCTCCGTCGTGATTGCTTCACAACGCGAGGACGTCTGGGTCTCGGGTCTCCGGCGGTCGTTTGCGTTGATTCGGGCATCCCCGGAAGGCTCTCGGCGAGGCGCAGTTGCTGGAGAGACGGGGGGCAGGAAGCGGAACAGAAGGAGGTCGAAGAGGAGGAGGAGGAGGAGGAGGAGGAGGAGGAGGAGGAGAGAGGGCCGGGGACGAGGAAGAGGGCGGCGAGGGGCGAGGGCGAGGGCGAGGACGAGGACGAGGACGAGGAGAAGGAGGATGAGGATTATAAAGAGGATGAGGGTGAGGGTGAGGATGAGGAGGATGACGATGATTATGATGATGGTGATGACGATGATGATGGTTGATGATGGTTCATGATGGTGATGATGGATGATGATGGTGATGATGATAATGATGATGATGATGCTTATGACGATGGTGATGGTCATGGCCATTATCATAGTCATGGTCATTGTGACCGTGATGATGATAATTATGATAATGATGATGGTGATGTTAATGGTGATGATGGTGATGTTGTTGATGATGATGATGCTGGTCTTGATGATTGTGATGGTAATGGTGATGATGATGGTGGTGGTGGTGAGGATGATGATGATGATGCTGATGATGATCATGGTGATGGTGGTGATAATGATGGTGATGGTGATGATAATTGCGATGATGATGGTGATGGTGATGGTGATGGTGATGGTGATGGTGATGGTGATGGTGATGGTGGCGATGATGCTGATGATGATGACGATGGTGGTGATGGTGATGGTAATGGTGGCGATGATGCTGCTGATGAAGATAATGGTGGTGATGATCATGATGCTGACGATGATGATGATGACGATAATGATGATGCTGATGATGATGATGATGATGATGATGATGATGATGATGATGATGATGATGATGATGATGATGATGATGATGATGATGATGATGATGATGATGATGATGATGATGTATGTTTAAGGCGATTCCCCCTACCACCGGTTCACCTCTAGACCGACATCCAGGAGCCACGCGCGTGCGCAAGGGCTCCCCCCTGCTTGAGTGCTCGGGTCTAACCCCCAGGCCAGTCTGATTCGCCACGCCTGCGGCGAAGAGGCAGAATAATATGATAATGATGATGGTGACGACGACGACGACTTGCAGGATCCTGCGGATGCTGCTGCGGATGATGGTGATGATGACGATGAGGAGGAGGAGGAGGAATATAGTTGACCAGGAGGAGGAAGAGAAGGAGGAGCATCGAGGATCGAGGAGTGCCCAGGAAGAAGAGAAGGAGGAGGAAAGGAGGAGGAGGAGGAGGAGGAAGAGGAGGAGGATGAGGAGGATCGACGAGGAGGATCAAAGAGGATCGAGGAGGAAGGAGTGGGGCGAGGACGGGGCCCTTGGCGGCGCGCGCGATTGTGGCGGGGCGCCCCGGCCAGGTCCTGGGCGCGCACGCCAGCGGCAGGGTGGACCCCCGCGCGGGCCGTGCGACGGGGCCCGCCCAGGAAGAGCAGGGAGGATCGACCCAGAGATCCGACGTTCGCGGGCTGTTTTCGGTCGATTTCGGCCTCCAGGGGCCCTCGCCGGGCTTCGGGACCGTCTAAAACGATTCGGGACGAAAAACCGTTTGGGGAAGACCTCCAGGGCCCACACATCGAAAAAATTGGAGCAGCCGGATGTCTGGGGAGGTTCGGGGCGCGAGGGTTGAGGGCGTTTCTGGCGTTTTCTCGGCCACCTCGTCGCCACGGCTGAATCCGCATCGCAATCTTGGTCAGAGCGCATTGCAGGACAGGTCTAGGCGTCGATACTTAGCCCCCAGACCGAGACCTCCTCAACGCAGTTCCCATTTGTCACCCGGACACCATAGTTAGCTCCTCGCGTCGTGAAGAGATCAGGACGGGGGATGTTTTTGCGCATTGTCTGCCTCTTGCGGCCTTCAACGGGATGTCCCCAGTCCTGGGGAAAAAGGTCCAGACTTCTGGGGCACCTCACGACGCAAGAGGTCTGGGCCCAATATACTCTATATTCACAGGGCGGCGTCTGGAGGTAAGTTTTACTCCTCCTCCTCGGGGTCCTCCACCTCCGGGTCCTCATCCTCCTCCTCCTTCTCCTCCTCGTCCTCTTTTTCCTCCTCATCCTCCTTCTCCTCCGCCTCCTTCTCCTCATCCTCCTCCTCCTCCTCCTCCTCCTCCTCCTCCTCCTCCTCCTCCCCCTCTTCCTCCTCATCCCTCTCATCCTCCTCACATTATCTCACATCCCCACATCAAATCCCCCCATCGTTATCCTTAGCCCTCTCAGGCTCAAAACTGGCCTTGCAGCAGCAAGTTTAGTGGAGGTTCATTGCTGCTGCGAGCCAAAAGCACGACCCAAAGGAGCGACCCAAAGGATCGATGGACCAGCAATGGTGGGATTACGGGAGAGGGTGGCGTGGGAAAAGTCGGGGGAGCATGAGCACGCCGAAGAAAATCACGACCCCAACCAAAACCCGCCGCAAGGCCAATGGAAAATTAGATGGCCCACGCCCCGACAGCCCATCATTGCAGGTCAGCGCTGGGCTTGCGCACCGTGTGGGTGCAACCGCAGCGATCTCCGTCGGGATTGTTGTAAGCACCGTTGACAAAAAATGATGCATCCACAATGGATGTTGGCAAGGTGTTGGATGTCGATGGGCGTTGTAGGCTCTATCGCGATTCAGTCCGCAGGACCCCCAGCCGACGCAAATGACAGGTCAGAGCACACCGAGAGCGAAGAACGTGGTCTTATCGACGTATAGTGCAAGGCAAGTGACGACCCTGGCACATCCAAGTTCCAGAAGCAGTTGGATATGTGTGTTCGAGGGCGTGGACTGCGAGCCCTTGCGGTCCAGGGTGCCCAAATTCCATGGACGAGTCCAGCAGCTCGAGCAGGCCCAGGAGGCCGAACTCGAGAAGCTGGGGATGTATGCGACGTGGTACAGCACCCAGACGGCAGCCGCGCAGGAGATCCAGGACATTATGCATGAATCAAAATTGAGCATCATGCATTGGCACGGCAGACCGCAGATCGCCAAGAGTAGTCGCTTTTACACCACAGACAATTGCATCAATGACGTGGTCAACGGTTCGCAGGACTTGGCCCGCCTCGTTGATGTGGGCACCTACTTCAGCGTTGACGATGGTGAATAGGACAAGAATGCGAGAATACATGATCATACAGTTTGGCGAAATGTCTAGCGAGTTGGTTTATCCTCGACAAAGACCGAACCCCATCCGTGCAAGTGTTTCACAAGTTTCCGTGTCTGGTCATGAATTTCGCGCAAGTCTCAATCGAGAGCCCCCGTTTGAAAAGAAACCGTGCTCATCCGCGCAATTGGTGCATGTGTTGAAGATCCTGGTCTCTCAATGTAAGGAGGCCTCAAGCAGGGGCCCCATTTCGAAAAAAAGGAACCGACCTCCATCCCCGTTACAGTGTCTTCTGGCACACGTTCGTGGCGCTGAGGCGAGATTAAGTGTTGCAAGTTTCGACGACGAAAGTACGCGGCGCTTAGGCGAGAGTCCCGTGTTGACTTATTCAGACGAATGTGCGCGGTGCTAAGATTACCCCGTCAATATTGGGTTCGCCCGCTTGGGCAAGCTTTTTTGGCGACCATGTTGCCCACTCCCTGTCGTGTTCCCCCTCCTCATCCTCTTCCTCGTCTTCTTGAGTCTTCTGGGACGTGCGAGTTGACGTAGTGACTCACGGAGCTTAGGCACGTGATCTGGGGTCCGAGTCTCCGGCTCATTCGCAGTATTGTTTTGTTACGTTGTTTTGGCTACGCCGTTTTAGTTTATTTGCGTTGGCCAAGGTCTTCCGTGTTGGCGAGCCCATTGCATGTTGGCCTTCAGGTGTTTCTGGGCGTGCCTAGTGGTATGGCATGAATGAGCGTAGGAAAAAAGCAAAACAATACGGCAATTCTGATCCTGACGAAGGACCCAAACAGATGCAAGTGTGCATACCGCAAAGCAGGTGGGACGAAGGAGGGGGGAACTCCTTGTAGGATCACCAGACGTGTGAAGGGTGTGCCGACATGGGCGGGGAGTGCATGCGGACGCTGCCTCTGGGGCCTTCGGTGGAGCTCCCTGTGGAGCCGCGAAACGTGCGAGGGGTGCGCCGAAATTGGCGGAGGACGCATGCGAACCCTAACACAGGAGCCTTCGGTGGAGCTCCTTGTGGGGCCACAAACCGTGTGGCCACGAATCGTGGGACGGGTGTGCCGAGTCGGGCGGGGAGCCGCGTGTGAAGCCCCGCCACGGGAGCCCTCGGTGGAGCTCCCTCTGGGGCCACGAAGCCGTGAGGGGTACGCCGCAACGTGGCGGGGCACGCCTGCGAGCCACCTTGCCGCGGGAGCCTCCCGTCGCCGCCCCTCGTCCTGCGCGTCTGGGCCCGGCGGCCAACGCCCAGCACACGTCGAGCAATCGCCGCCGAGAATGGGTTTTGCTGTGCAGTGTGCGGGTGGGCGGGCGGGGCTGTTGCGCGAGCAGTGGAGTTGACAGCTCACTGCGAGCATAAAAACTCATGGCACCACAAAGAGTGCACCACGCATGTGGCACCACATCTACTGCACCACACGCACTGCAACCACGCAGAGCGTACTGCGCCGAGCGCACCACATCATCGCATGCTGCAACACGCTGTTTGGGACCCGCGCTGGCCAAACTGTGTTTGGGGCTTTCAGGCCCCGGCCAAAAAGCCGAAAACGCTAAAACCATGTTTGTTGGTTGTACGTGTTCGGGTCAGCCGACACCCATCGCCGGAGCCCGGTGCGGACGGGTCGTGGGCTCGCAGGCCTATTTCGCTCGCGCTGGTGTCAGAGCGTGTTGTCGCTTCTCCGTGTTGAGTTCTGCGCACGGGAATCACTTTCAGCCTCCGCCCCAGCTGCGGATGTCACCGGGAACGGGAGGGAAAGCGGGAACGAACGCGGCAGGGATGACAAGGAGCAGGTTTCGACAAACAAACGAAATATTTAGAAGACGATGCTTCAGCATGGTTGGGAAACACCGAATGCGCGCGGCGCTAACGCGAAAGCTCCATGTTGAAAACAGCATGTGCTCCATCCTTGCAAGTTTTGCTGAACTCAGGCTTCTGGATTATATGTGGTAAGGAAGCCCCATGCGAAACACCCAGAACGCCTTGCCGACACGACAGGGGGTGCGGCGCGACGCGGAGTCTGGAAGAAAAAACGATACAGGAGGTGGAAGAGGAAGAGGGAGGTGGAGGCGATGAGGAGAGGATTGAGGGACGGAGGATGAGGAGGGTGGAGGTGGAGGCGGAGAAGAGGAAGGGTGAGGACGGGATGCATGAGGGGAGGAGTGGGAAGGAGGAGGAGGCTCCCCCAGGTGGCGGGGCGGCAGCAAGCCCGCCGTGGCGCTGGGCAGCCCGCCAGGCGGCAGATGACCGCGTCCGAAGGGGCCATTGACCGCATCGAGACTGTGCCAGGGGGGTTCGCCGGTGAGCCGTTTTGTGACGTTTTCGTAGGTACTCGGAGGTTCTCCTACTTCGGGGTGCATTCCAGCACGGCATTTCTTTGAGAGCGTTCCAGGGGTGGCCGAATCGTCCCGAATTGCCGCTGGGGAGCCAAGGTACAAACCGAAAGCCGAGTAACCTTTGGCCGCGAAGATGCAGTTGGTGTGGACTTGTGGGCCCACTGGAGTCTCCTTAGCACTGGCTTGCGCGCTGAGGCTTAGCCCCCCGCCCCCCTAACGCCTAAAGCCGTTCACCAAAGGCCACCCTTGCCAGCGGACGTTCCTGCGTGTAGCCGAATGCTTACTGGCGATGGCCCCCAAAACAGTGAGTTCTTGCACTCTCGATGTGCGCTTGCGGGGTGCAACTTAATGTGTGCAACCTACTGAGTGCAAGTCACCCCGCCGAACTGAAACACCACTGCTCGCGCAATCGTCCCACCCATCCACCCGCAACTTGGTTTGCAAAACCCATGCGGCGGCGATTGCAATGATTGCTTAGCACTAGCTGGCGCATCGCTGCGACCTTGCGCGCGGAACGACCAGTTTGTCTGGTGCGACCGACGCGGCCGCGGTTCCACTAATTGTTGGGGGCTTCGCAGCGCGCGCTGACGCGCGGGCACTTCAGTGCGAGTCGGTGACTCGGGCGGGCGCGGTATCATTGCGACGTCGACGACGGCAGGCACGATGCTGAGCGTA